CCATTGCTCCGACGGCTCCGATGCAAAGAGCGCCACTCAATGTAGGGTTGCAAATGGGAAACCCAGCAAAAAGACAAAATTCTTCTTCGTTATGCCCTTATTCATCTCCTATGCATGCAATCGTGGTAAGCAAAACCTTCAAAGAATTCAAAGAATACTTTAACACTTGTTGTATTATAATCGCTCCCTGCGCCGCACGTTGTGTAAAGCTCATTGTGTGGATCGCTTTCTCACAGTTTAGTTGGAAATAGTGTGCGAAGTAAATGGGAGAACCACACACTCTTTGTCGAGTGTTGCATCTCATGCACAAAGTTGCTTTGCTAACGCTCTGAGGTGCTTTCCAGCCCTGCACCCGAGGAATAGCTTTCAACGGGCACACTGACCACCTAACCTTGATTCGGCCTGTCTTCACCAGCTAGTTCGCTGCGTCCAAAGAAAGTCGTATCGACGCCGTCTGCATGCCACCATACGCCTTCCTCAACCGAATTGCCATCGGTACGTCTCCCAGGTTGCATTGCACCTTCAGCGCACTTTTCAACTCGTCTTCCGTTGTGATCTCGTCCAGATCCCTGCACTCGACCACTGACTCCTGAGATAAATTTCTTACGTTCGCCGTCCCATCAAGAGATTTTTCGACGAGCTCCTTAAAAGCTGCGCTCTTAACCGTAGGATCCCTTTTCAGCTCAAATAGCATCTCGACTTGCTGGGTTCGCCTGGTTTTCACCACATTCTCGCCTAGTTGTTTCAACTGCGGATCCTCTCTCACTTTCCGGAGGAGTCCTGTTTAGGACGTTTTGTCCTTTGCCTCAACAACCAAAGCATCACCCTTGTTTCTCTCCCTACGAGGCCTAAGCTTCTCGTTATTCGTCCTGTCTTCCTCCTTCTTCTCTTCCTTCTTCCTTGCTTTCTCTTCCTTCATCCTAACTTCATCTTCCTTTTGTTTTTTCTTCCTCTCCTTCTGGTTCTCGACTTTACGCCACCCATGATTTTCTCCCATCTCCTTGATGCCTTCCTCGTCGTCCCTGCGTTTTTTGGGCTCCTCCTGATCTCCTGGTGTGTCCCTATCTCTCTTTTCAGGACGTGGATTTGTCGGTCTCTTCTGCGTCTCATGGGCTTCAGCCAGTATTTTGCTCTTCTTGACCTCCAAGAGAGCCTTTTCGGCACTTTCGGCATTTCCGGCTCTTTTTCTCCACTCTTGGAATTCCCGATCTGCCACTGTTATGCCGGATTTGATTCCAGTCACAAGTTGCTTGATATCTTTGTGTAAGTTGTTTTTATCGTTTACGAACACATATAGTCCATAGATCTTTCTCCTGACCTCCATCATTTTGGTTCTCCCAAGCTGCAGTTCTTGAGATTTGCTACTGCTGGATATCGGTGTGACTATCTGGCTTAGCCCAACGCCTGGCTGCTCTTCTTGAGACTTACTGCTGCTGCTGGAACTCGCAGTGGCCCCCAGGTTCGACACTGGTGATCTCTGCAATATCCCGCTCCTTGCGAACACGTTCGCTCCTCCATTTTCAGTGTCTGGCGTCTTGCCGTCGTCCTTCATATTTTCATATTTTTTTTTTTGGTTCTTTCATTTTCGTCATTTTTGTTTTGTTCTCCGATTTTCTCCATTCTGATGGGTCCTCCATCCGGGCCGCTATCTCCACTCGTTGTATGTAGTCAGCTATCGTGATCCCATGGTTATCTATACAAGCAGGGAGGCCATGCTAGGGTTGACACGGGCCGTGTTCTGAGCCAGATCGACGTAAGTCAGGAATGTTACATCTGAGCCTACTAGGCACCAACCACCAATTGGTGACGAGTTTTGAACGTATCCGGAGGCCTGCCAAGGTTTTACCGGGACGGGGGCAGCCGCACAATATACTCGCCATTTCAAGAAGGTGTCACCCTTCTTTACTCAGGGAGCAGAATAGCACGACTGTCAGCCCTCTCAAATAACTTTGCAAGTTTTATTGAGGTTTTAAAGCACTCTACAAGTCTAAGTCGTGGTCTACAGAACCCTCATAAAACTCGAATTGTTCCTTGGGCTGTATCGTGGTATCCTATGTCAGCTATGTACCAATGGAGAGGCATGGTAATCTAGTCGTATTGGAGTAAACAGCGAAATTTATAAACATGATAATTTCAATAAATCGTAGCTCAAAAACGAAGAAAAATACATCGCTTATTTTTTCATGTGTTGTGTAGAAAAGCCTAAATTTTCAAAAAAAAAATATATATATATATATGTATAAAAACATGCTACAAACCATGAAAACCATAAAAAACAAATACAATCAAAGTTCTTCTATACAAAACCCCAATTTTCAAAAAAAAAAAATATTTTTTTTTTCTGAAAAGTAGTTCTAATAACCTTTCATTTGATATTTTGATCATTCAAATCGGCTCAATGGTTCAAAAGTTATGATTTAAAAAAAATGCCATTTATGGAAAAAATAGATTTTTTTGGACCATCCTAACAGCAAAATGGTCACCCTAATGAGAAAATAAAAAAATATGTGTCTAATACTTTTCGATAAGGAACAAAACTGTCAATTGTTACGAAATGCTGAGAACCACTTTATCGTTTTGCTATGGAATGGCTGATTACTAAAATATTTTCAGTAATGAATGCAATACTTGTAGTTCACTGGCTGTGGGAACGCTTGTTTGCTTGTTTGGTACCCGGTTGACAGTTCGATTGGTACTTTTGGCTTCACTTCACTGACATGATTTGAAAACGCGTGAATTTCTAATGCGTATTGCAAAATGCATCGCACGTGTAATTTGATTAAAGATGTAAAACAGTGTAACCAAATAAATTTTAAAATTTTCTCCTGATTACAAAAATCTATAAATATCTGTACAAAAAAACTAAAAACTCTGCAAATTTCTGCAACGAAAAAAATGTCTGTGAAAAAATAAAAGTCTGAAAATTTACAGACATGTCTGTAAATCTGGCATCTCTAGCGTGGAGGTACAGGTGAACGAGGTGGAGATAGTGGGGGAGAAGCCTGTTGGTGATAACTTCTCTTAGGATATGCTCCAGTATTTTTGCTTGAGGACGAGTCAACGTCAAGGGTATCTATTTCGACAAGGTACTCGTAGATCTACCTAGCAAGATAATGATTTTTGTAATTTTGAATATTCACAGGAGTAGTTTTTGGCATGTTTCCATATAGTGTCTTTGCTAATTACCTGCCCAGTGGCAGGTGCGTACGCAACATGTTATACCGTGACAGAGGGCCCAGCACAGCAAAATAAACGATTTGAGCCCGGGACATGCTGTCTACTGTCAAACGCTGCTGTTGGTATATGCCTTGTCACTGGCGTGCTAATAACGCAAGCTGCAAAAATCAACACGCTTCACTGATGCAATGCCGTTCGGCCCATCCCATTAGCACGAAATGTTAAAATTTCTTGTGAATGTGTATTAAATCCAATCAGCTGATTTAGAGTTGGACAGCATCCTTTGGTCATCTACAGCTAGTGCCAAAAAATGATTAAAATTTTGTGAAACCATTTCACATCAAGCCTCATCCATTTCAATCGCATTTAAATAGAAACATAACCTTTAAAATGCTTTTGTCAAAGGAAGAAATCAGGCGTAACATTTGAAAACGGCTCAAAAGCTTTCGTAAACAATAGTTGTAAGGTCATTTACACGTGAAACAAAGTATGCCAACGCAAACCAGTATCACTATCGGAAAGGGGAGAATTTCCCCTACCCGATTATGTTGTTGGTTTGCGTGGGCGTACTTCGGTTCACGTGTAAGGGGCCAACTTTTGTTTACATAAGCTTTTGTGCCGTTTTCAAATGTTACGCCTGAAATAGAAAATAGAAGAGAGGTACACACCCCCCGTAAATACGTTTTAAATCCTAGCCATATTTCGTTCGTTCCTTTTCTGCGCTCTTTCCTACCCTAAACGGGCCACGCTCAATTGAAACACTGCCATTTATCAACTAAATCTAGCTCATATCTTTACGAGCATTTTCAGACATGCCATCAAAATTCTCACTTCTTCTTTCCCGCTTTCTAACTCTCATCGTGCATATATTTTGAAATAAGGAACAAACTTATTCTCTTATGATGCGCCCAGCCTGTTCTTACGAACGGAATAATGGCAAACTGTTATTATTTGAGGGAGGCCCCGGTTGCGTCGGTTTCAAATGTTGCAGAACGTGTCGCCATAAAATTTCGAAGCCCACGTTTCTTTTCGAGAGAAATAATGTCTCAATGTGGACTTTCCAGTGCTGATCCAAAAACATGTCAATCATTCTACCGCGAAACTAAAAACCTTGCACTGAAATAGCTCCTTATGTTTTTGCTGTTTTCTTCCGGCTCTGGTGCTTGAGGAGGACGGTGAAACCGGCGGAAGACCGATCATCTCATAAATATATTATGAGGCTTGGTGGCTCCTTTTTCTCTAGCAGCGCAACGTCAAGCCAAAAAAAAAAATATTTATACGTGGGATGATATTTTGAAATAAAATATCGCGACTGTTGCTGTTTGTTTTCCGTTATTCGTTCTACGGCCAACCCATATCCGTTTGGCTCTATTCGTTTTTCATGGATGTTTTATTTTTTTTAAATGAACAGTAAAATCAACTGAATGTTTTTTGCTCCGTCTTTATTTGTCCTCCACCTCACACTCTCTCTCAATTTAGTAGCCGCCTACCAGCAGCAGATCGTCTGTGAAAACTTTTTCTAGCTGCCATTTTGTTGTGTATCTTATTGAGTTTTGCTTTCGCTATGATTTTGTGTGTGTTCACAGGAAACTTTTTAACAAAGTCATGCTCTTTTTATCGGTGCGGCATTCTTCATTTTTCGACGAAAAATTGATTTCACTGCTCGACCGAACGGCTTTCGTTGCTTTGACAGTACTTTTCCTACTGCTTGTTAAGTTGCAAAAGATTCGCATCAGAAATTCAGTCTGAAGAAAATATTGTTGTTTTGATATCTTGTTTATACTTTCCTGAAGAATGTTTTTTTTTGCCATATCTCTTTGCAGCTACTGCTATCCAATGCCAGTCAGGTTGTGATCCGAAACGTTGGCTTCGGGCTGTCTGGTAACTTTTCCTGCGAGGTCACCGCGGATGCACCCTTGTACTCGACGGCGACCGGACACATCCAGATGCAAGTGGTCGGTAAGTGTTTAACCCTTCGAATCAGACCTGGCTAGACTCTTTTGCTAGATGACATCAGTGCTGTCATGGTAAATTTAGAGATGGCTACACACTGATAATTGTTCTCCCATAATTGTTATTTGGGAATATATAACTGCATATTCACACAATTCAGTTAACTCTAAATGTCATTGGAGTATGGAGGGAACTTGTCTGCAGTTGGCTCGCAATAAATCTTATATACATATTTTAACAGGGAAGAGCACCGTTCGTAACATGTCATCAATTCCTTTTGTTAGCAATCGCTATATGAGACGTAAAATGATTTCACCAATTAGAGTTGACCCAGACCCTCGCCTTGATAGGCCAAACCCATAATCACTAATCTACTCCACCATGCTTGTGTTTCACTGTCTTCGTTTACAAAATATGAATTGAGAAGCGATAATAATGAAACTCTTCGCAGGATTACAGAGGATTTGGCAAAAACGTCTTGAATTCAAGCGAGAATATGAACCTCCACCAGATACCAGTAGACAGGGTGAGTTGAAACGTGACAGTGACTGCTACATTGAGATATTGAAAGTAAGGCAAAGCCCATAAAGTTCCTGCTATTGCGGCATTTTCCTGAAGTTTTCAGAACTAATCTGCAATTCGTATAATTTCCTCAACAATCTATAAACATTTGTGAATTTCTCTGAACTTTCCTGAAACATCTCGTCTCAAAGTACTCACAATTTTAATGGAGTTAATACAACTGCCTGGAAGCTCTTTTGAAGTTTACGAAACTACTCTGATGCTGACGCAGAGATGCCAGATTTACAGACATGTCTGTGAATTTACAGACTTTTATTTTTTCACACACATTTTTTTCGTTACAGACATTTACAGACTTTTTAGTTTTTTCACAGATATTTACAGACTTTTGTAATTAAGGGAAAATTTTAAAATTTATTTGGTTACACTGTTTTACATTAGTAATCCTATGTATAGAGATTCGCAGAAATATTATCAGACGATTTGGCAACGTGATTCGTTTTGTTCACAAAAGCTGGTAACACTTGCCGCGGAGCAAAATGTTCCTGCTTTGAGCGTGACTTTATCGTTTGCCTGTGAGGACCACCCTAGCACAATACTATCACCGTAACAGCCGACCAGATGATGGCTCCGGCTATTGTACTGGCCATCGATCGACCAGCAGTTGATTGTAGATCCAGATCACTTTCGCTTTCATTAGCACACGGGAGATGAGGTGGACGATGAGAGCGAGAGATTCGGTCTATCTCTTGTGAAACTCACCACATACACGATGGGATACTGGGATCGGGTTAGAGAGTAGATAACGGATATTTTGTATTTTAGTTTATAAGTGGCACAAGGTCGAAGACGGTCCTACGAGACCGAGAAATATTATTGTAATTTGTGGTGTAGTCTGTTCAGAATAAATGTAGTGTAGTTAGAGTTTGTGTTTCGTACAAAACTTGTGTGTTAATGTTATTTGTATAATGAAGGAAGAACTTGTACCCTTCACCTGTTGTCCGTAATATGCGGTGAAGATTTGCGTGCCCATCACTGATCAGTTCCCTGTCGATCAATCATCGAACGATTGAGTTGGACACCAACAATCGTTGTTACGCTAGTGTAGAGCGTTCACCTCCACCGAAGTTTCTTCAGCAAGGACCCAGGTAAACCTACATCGTTGTTTACGGAATGAGTTTGTTTGAATTTTTAGTGAACTGGTGAACTATTTTTAACTCTAACCGCGGTCGTGGAAATGCGACGAAGTGTAAAAATGTGAGTTTTTTTTCGGTTTCCGAACTTTGATTTTTATTTGGCTGGAAACAAGCTATTAATCGTGATAATGTATCACCTTTCTAGCACCGCCCATCACTTAAATACGTAGCAAAAAAATAATAATATGTATCAATCAATGTTATTCATGATGAAATATTGAACTCTTTGATTGTTAAAGTGGATACAATATTACACTCATTAAAATGATTTGTTGTCAAGATCTGTGTTCATCGCATAGCGTAATATTACACTACAAACGGAACGCCCAATACGGACCAAATATATTTACGGAGATGAACTAGCCTACGGCTAAAAATCTCCTAAATAAAGAAGAAAACCAATTATGTAATTCCTGACGTTACTGAAAATTACGATAGCATCAGATTGCTGGATTGCTAGTGTATTACAGCTTTCGCATAAATGGAGTACACGTAGTATATAGGATTTGACCTAATAGGGACCAACATGGAATATCTCGCGATCCTGGACATATACAGGGTGCGTGACGAATTTTTGCAGTTAATTTCAAATAGTAATTTCTCATGCTTGTGCATCATGATTTAGATATATTTGGCAGCACTGGATAGCTTATACTGTTAGGTGTAAGATTTAAACAAACAATGTTGAGTAAACGTAAAGATGTCGAAACAAGAGCGCAATCTGTCAGCCGTTGTCGCTTTGTTGCGCGCCGGAGTATGCATGAAAGAAATAATTCGGTCGGTAAATGTGTCTGAAAGAACAGTGTATAATATTTAAAAAGGCTTGGGAAAGTGATAAGACGGAGCACCTGCTCATACTGCTAATAAAGCACAGAAATGGCTTACGGAAAATATTTCGGAAATTTGGGAGGAAGAAATTTGGCCCCCAAGCAGTCCCAATATCAATCCGTTGGATTATTTTGTATAGGGCTTCGTCCAACGGGTAACCAATAGAACCCCTCACACCACACTTAAGTCGCTAAAAGCTAAAATCAAGGCAGTGATGACATATATGGATCGAAACATTTTAAAACGTGCATACTGCAGTTTCCGGAAGCGTCTAACTACAGTCGTCGAAAGGGAAGGCAATTTTTTTGAATAAATTTACTTACAACTTCCATATGTTGCGAAAGAAAATAAATCGCACAAAATACATTGCTAGAATAACTAACTGGTGTATTTTTTCTCAAATGTGCCATTTACTACAAAAATTCGTCACGCACCCTGTAGATGGTTACTGTGTTCGGTAAATATCGATGGATATTTTCTGAATCGGGATGACGTCTACGACCCGTGAATCGATTTCCTACGCCATGTTGAAATCCAAGATGGCGGCTTCCGGTTTCAGAAAAAGTGGGAAATACTGCCAAATACCCTTCAATATGTATATTTTCGGAATCGGGATGACGTCTAGAGACCAACAACTGATATCCAGTGCCATCTTGAAATCCAAGGTGGCGGCTTCCAACTTCAGAAAAAAGTGGGAAATGCTGCCAAATACCCTTCAATGTGGATATTTTCGGAATTGGTATCACGTCTATAGACCGAAAATGGATGTCCAGCGCCATTTTTAAATCCAAGATGGCGGCGTCCGATTCCAGAAAAAGTGGAAAATACTGCTAAATACCCTTCAATATGTATATTTTCGGCTGCCGATTTCAGAAAAAGTGGGAAATACTGCCAAATACCCTTAAATATGGATATTTTCGGAATCAAGATGACGTAGAGCGACCGAAAATCGATGCCCAGCGCCATTTTCAAATCCAAGATTGTGGCTTCCGGTTTCAGAAAAAAAATGGGAAAAACTGTAAAATGCTCTAAAAAAGGATAATTTTGCAACAAAGACGACGTGCAGATGTCTAAAATTGAAATGCCGAAATGGCGTCAGCCATCAATTTTCCGTCTTTTTTAAGGTATTTGAAAGTTTTTTTTTTTTTAAACAGGACTGCCATCTTAGATTCCAAAATTGCGTCGGACATCGATTTTGCCTCTACATATCGTTCCCATTCCGAAAATACCCATATTGTGGGGGTATTTAACATTACTATCCAGTTTATCTGTAACCAGAAGCTTCCATCTTGGAATTCAATATGGGATCAGACAGTAATTGCTAGTCCGTAGCTATCACCGCGAATCCCAAATTACCCACATCCATGAGTGTTTGACAGTATTTCCAACTTTTCCTCTACCCTGTACTTACCATTTTGGCTCTCAAGACACTCATTTTCTATTTCTAGATGTCATTCTCTAGACGTCATTCCTCGTTTAAAAATACTCATATTGAAGGGTATTTGACAGTATTTCTATCTTTTTTTCTGAAACCGTAAGCCGCCATCTTGGATTTCAAAATGGCATCGGACATTGATATTCGGCATTTACATGTCGTCTCAAAAACCCATATTATTGGATATTTGACAGTTTCTCTGAAGTCAATGGCCGCTATCTTGCATTACAAAATAGTGTCAGACATAAATTGTAGTACTTGTTCCAAAAATACCCATACTGTATAATATTTGGCAGTTTTCCGAATCTGAGAGCCGCCATCTTGGATTTCAAAAATGGTATCGGACATCAACTTTCGGCAACTACACGCGTCTTGTACCGAAAATATTCATAAAGGGTGTCCACGATGAAATTGCCACACACAAAATTGATTCGCAAAATTCGAGTTTTCATCCGATTGCCATCAAATTTTCAGGGATTGAGAAAACCATTTTACTCGTATTTTATTTACAGTCCATACGCAAATGCCTTAACCTCGGCCATAAGATTCTGCACAACCTGTGAATCAACCGTTTTTTGCATGTAAACCCATAGTTTCTTCAGTTCCTCGACTGTCTTCACTACCTTAGGTCGTTTAAGAAGGTGCTGCTTCATAATCGCCCAGTACTTCTCGATGGGGCGGAGCTCCGGAGTGTTGGGAGGGTTGAACATTTTCGGCACGAAATTGACCTTATTGTCCGCATACCACTTCAGCACGTCCTTGGAGTAGTGGCATGAGGCCAAATCCGGCCAGAAGATTGTTGGGACGTTGTGGGCCTTCAGGAGAGGAAGCAGCCGCTTCTGAAGGCACTCTTTTATGTACACCTGTCCGTTCATCGTGTCCTGGGTCACGAAAGGTGCACTCCGCTTCCCGCACGTGCAGATGGCTTGCCAAACCAGGAATTTCTTCGCAAATTTGGACATCTTCTGAGTGCGGACATGCTCCGGAACGCTGAACTTATCCTTGGCCGTGAAAAACAGGTTGCC